CTTAACTAGTGGCAACAACATCTGTAATACAACATTGAGCTCGACAACTTCTACCAACAAAAGAGAATATAAGGCATAAATATTTATACAATGACTATTTTCCAAAGATTTTAATACACAAGAAATAACTATAAGTCAGTAGTCTTGTAAGAAAGATAATATCCAGAATTCGTAGTCTAGGGGCAGTGGAATGATAAATACTGTCCAACAGAGGACATTCTGGACAGCGATAACAACGTAAAGGAGTATTTTGGAATTAGGAAAGTAGTATCACCTCAAAATGACTCAAGTTCCCCCAGGGCAGGGCCAGTATTATAAGCTTTGTAAAATCTCACTGTATCTTGCAGTGTTTTCAATGTAATTGTTGATGTTAGCTGCCAACCAGTGGGCCCCCAACTCATGGCAACCCTATGCACAACAGGATCAGACTATTGTGATCCACAGGGTTTTCACTGGCTGGTTTTCAGAAGCAGATTGCCAGGCTTTCTTCCTAGTCTGTCGTAGTCTGGAAGCTCTGCTGAAACTTGTTCAGCATCATAGCAACACCCAACCCCCCACTGACAGATGGGTGGTACCTGCGCATTAGATGGATTAGTCAGGAATCGAAACCAGGTATCAAATCCAGGTCTCCAGCATGAGAGGCAAGAATTCTACCACTGAGCCAGCTACGGCCCACCTTCAATATTAATAGGCCTTCAATGATTATTTTCTTTTTTAAACTAAACGGAACTCCTACGGCAGTTTCATGACCTTTGAAAGAGCAATACAGTTCACTTTAACGAGGAGTTTCCTTCTCTAAATAAATGTCCTCTAAAAAATCTGAAACAAAACTAAAGTCAATATTACAGAAATGGTCTAACCAGTACAGGTTACAATGAGACTCGATTGCTTTGTTCTAGACAAATCTATTAAGATTTCACCAGCTATTTTGGCAGTCATATCACCAAGCTATCAGCCAGGTAAAGTCACATGAATTGCCTTTAGGTCAGTTCTTTCCCAAACTGTAAAATTTTTTAACCCATGTATTAAAGTTTATATTTATCTCTTTTAACGTCATCATTTTAATTTTGGCTTGTTTAGCCCTTCCTGAACTATCACCTAGACCACCTCATCTATCATTACCTACAAAGGCCTTCAGAACCTTTAATCTGAAGGTCTGAAGGGAGATTTTAGTCTCCCTCCAGGAAACATTCACTAATCAGTAATCAATACTCTGGGTAATGCAATCAACTGTTAATTCAATTACACAAAATATGCACAATCACCTACAGGAATTGTTTTAGTCAGTAAAAACAAAGGAAATAAAGATTAACCCAGCCCCTACCCTCAAGGACCTTATAATTTAGTACATTTAAAATCTTAAGTGTTAAAGTAGAAGTGCTATATAACATGCTATGAGAACAAAGATACAGAAGCATTTAATTAAAGGTTAAGACTGGAAATATTACATTAGGAAATCATCTATCATCCAACCCATATTTTTCAATATCTTCCAAAAAGATACCATGAGCTTTTTCAGATGCACTCTGTTAATAATATGATGAAAATAACAATGGCTTTTATATTATAGACTCTTAAAACTAAGGACTAAAGATCACATAGTCCAGGAAAATAAGGCATAAAAAAGGTTTATAAGTCCCTATGAATCAAATCACATATTTAAACCTAACTTCTACCTCCTAGACTATTACCTCATTCCTAACTTCTAACATTTTACTCTTTCACTTGGGTAGAATATTTTTTAATAAATCATGATACGGATGTGCTGTGCTCAGCCGTACTTTTCATACCCATACATACACCCACGCACACACACTCACTAAACAACTCATACACAGATTTTATTTCTGTTGAACTTTAATTGGCTCCTCAAAAAACTAAAAAGCCATCCTCTTATAAAAAAATTGTACTGACTAAACACAGCACTTCTTCAATCTCTAATTTCCTTATTTGGTAAAAAGAGCTAATTACCACAAAGTCGGAGCTTTGAGAAATCATTAATTCATATTTGGACTCTTTCTGATCCAACCATTCTTGGAAATCAACACAATAAGCAACGCTTAAGATTCTACCTTATAATCTACCTTGCATCCTGAAGAAATAAAAACAGTCATCTCTTTGGTGCTACCCAGAGCCCAGAATTGTGACTCTACCATATATTTACTACCTTACTTAAATGCTCATTTGCAACAGTAGAAATCCCTTAAAGCACAGCTCAAACTTATTACCAATTAATTCATATCCCTTCACAACCATACAACAGAAGTCTGACATAACCCACCTGGCCTATCACTTAGGTACTAGTCCTGTCCCCCAGTGTCAGTATTAAAGTAGTTCTACTGGATCACTTTATTCTCAAATTTAACAGTAAGTCTTAAGAAGCAACAAAATAGCAATAAAAATCAAACGTATGTTACAAGAAACAGACCTAAGTTTGAGTGCATAACCACATACCGTAATTTTTCTTACAACAACTTATTTTCAATAATTAAAATGGCTTTGGAACAGTAATGTAAGCCTAAACATGTAGTATGAGAGCTGGTTTCTAAATTCAAAATTTCGAGAGAATTTTTGTGACCTCAAATTCCTCAATGGCAAGGGCATAGTATAGGGGTTTGTACTGTATTACAATCCACTGGAAGCACAATATCCTTATTCAAAAGTGAGCACAGTGAAACAGGAAGTCTAATCAACTCTTCCTACGGTCTCTCCTAGTCCCAACAATAGTCCTCTACACCAATTTCTACTTATCTAAGGTTTAAACACCAAATTGATACTAGCTGATTCTACATTACTTACTTTCTATTGTTTCCCTCAAATCCTCAAACCACTAAAAATTTTAAAATATAGAGTTGTATTAAATTTTAAGACAAAAATTAACAATATTTTTTCAGAATTTCCAAAAGGACATAAAACAAGAAAATCCCACTGCTTCTACAGTTTACCTTTTCAAATTGCTGAGAAACTATTTAAATGGCTGAGAGTAAACAGCCAAAGAGCAGGAGGCGGTCGGGGATTGGGATAGCTTCTGGATGTAGTATATTCTTAATTTAAAAAAAATAAAAATAAAAACTCATTTTAGTCTTCACTATTTTATTTTTCCTTAGAAGTGTTTTTCTATAATGTGATACAAATTCAGTTTTTAAAATCTAAATTAAAAATTTATTCTAAGTAATATTTCTCCACTGTTTTCCTATGTGTACTTTTAAAAAGTAATCTGCTAAAATTAGCTTCCTCTGAAACATGGATCATGGAAGTACGTAAAAAGAGAAATATTTTCTAATTATAAAAATGGAAAATAAAACTATACCCATCTCCTTTAATTGATGATACACTATAATCCACTATAAAACCAAAAAAGACCCATTGCCATCGAGCGGATTCCGACTGTTCTGTCCTACAGGGTCGCTGTGAGTCGGAACTCACTTGATGGCAACGGTTTTTTTTAATCTTTACGGAAGTAAACTGCCACATCTTTCTCCTCTACAGTGGCTGGTGGGTTCGAACCGCCGACCTTTCAGTTAGCAGCCGAGCGCTTGAACAGGCTAATAATGCCTAAGAACTTAAGCTTAATTCATTTAATATATAACCTCCCCAGTATGAGACCAATTAAGGCTATCTCAGAAACGGAATGTAAAGGCTCCCGAGGTGTTTTCTCTTGCGTGGCGTATTTACAGACCGGGCGAGCACTTGTCCAGAATGCTGCAAGAGATTCCTGGGCTGGCTAAGCAGCTGTCCAACTAGATGAGCTCTAAGGTCTCTTTAAGTTGTAAGATTCCGAATCTGTAAGATGTGAAAAATAACATTTTCTCCTTCGATTAGCCAATCTCCCTCCACTCACATCCTAACCGCAAACGTATATACAAGAAAGTTCTCTCTCTCTCTCTCCCCCCTCTCTCTGCAGTGATTTCACAAGACCCACGTTAAAAAGCATGGAAAATATGCACAGGTGGGATAAAAAGGGGAGTGGTGAGGCCGGGCCGCTCTCGGGACAGCGCCCCCACGCCCCCTGTCCCCCGGCTGCACCTGAGAAATCACTGCGCTCCACATCTCCACCCTTCCGCGGCGACGTCGGGAGCAAATTCCGACCTATTACACTCAACCCGTAACTTGGCTAGACATTGGGCATTGTCTAGAGCCTCCAGCGCCCAAGAAAGAGAGAAAGGAGAGAGAACGAGTAAGAATAAAGAAAAAAGGAGAAGTAAAACAATCGGGAATCCGTACGCTCCTTTTGGCAAAATCGTATGCCCCATTACTCAATTTAATTTAGATCCCAAAAGCCAACCCACCCGCCTACAGGCTGCAGCCCCAGGTGGCCCAGCGAAGAGTCCCCCGACCCTTTGCTAGTCCCGAGCTAGGACACAAGGAGAGGGAAATGGGCGTGTGGGCTGGGCCTGGCTGGCCGGAGGCAGGGCGCCGAACAAAGCCGCCCGGCTCCCCCTACCCGGGGCTGGGGCGAGGGCAGCGGGCGGCGCCTCCCGGCTCCCAGCGCCGCCCCAGGTCGGCAACGCCCTCGCCCCGGGGACCCTCACCCGGGCGGGGGTCGGGAACGAGCTTCCTCGCAACATGCGAACAGCGCCCCTTCGGGACAATGGGCCCCCTCCCCCGCTCCAAGCAGGGAGATACAAAGGGAGAGAAGCGCGGCCCGGCGCGGAGCCAGGCGTCAGGAAAGTGAAGACTGAGGAGGGAAAAGGGACGGGAGCGAATCGCGGAGAAAGCGGGAGCCCGCGGGGCGCTTCCCCGCCGTCAAGGAGCTGCCCCAGACCCACCGCGCGACAGAGGCGGGAGCGCAGACCTGGCGCAGCCGACTCCTTGATCCCCGGCACAGGAGGGAAAAGGGGTCTGCACACAAAGAAGAGCGGGACGCCCACCCTCTGCCGCGCCGGGGGTGAAGACCGCACGACGCGCTCTTGCCGCCGACAGTCAGCCGCGTCCACCCCGCCCGCGCCGCGCTACTCGGGGGCACGGGTCCTCGCGGGGCGCCCCTCTCCCCCACTCACCCACAGCTCTGTTCCCCAGCTCATGGCGAAACTTGAGGCGACTCCGGCCGTTTGACTGTCCCGCTGTCTGTTCGTCCGTCCGTCGGCTCTGTAGTCAGTCTGTCCGCCCTCCCACAGGCTGGCGGGCTCACGGTTCCACTGCTCTGCCTTGAAAGGTACCGCCACCGCTGGGCCCCCCAGTGAGTGAGGAAGACGGGACTGTGCAAGCCGCCGCCGCCGCCGCGTCCCCGCCTCCTGAAGTCGGAAAGGAGGGGGCCGAGGCAGAGGGGAGGCGGGACGCGGAGCGGGGAGGGGGGCGGGACGCGGTGCACCCTGGGATTGGGGCGGACTGCACGCGGCCGGCTACAGCCGGCTGGGGTCCTGTAGCAGGTGGCTCTTCTCCGCGCCTCCTGGTTGGCAAGGTCTCCTCCGCCTCTCCTGGGGGCTTGGATGGTCCCACTGTCTCCGCAGTTCCAGTGCCTGCATCCTAAATAGAAAGGGAGAGAAGGAAAAGACGCCCACCGGCCCTACTCTCATCCCTTCTTTGCCCTGAGCCCCCTCCAGTCCTGAGGCAACTCCGGTCATCCTCCCTTCCTACCTCTCTCCTCCCTGCGGGAAAAACCCTGACAAGCAAACCTCATCCAAATCTTTGGGTTTAGATTGTGGAGAGGTGTGTTGTATTTATTAAAAATGCCCTGTTGATTGAGACGCTTTCTCATTTCGGGCCTGTTGTTTTCTTTCCTTATTACTGTTTTTTGGGAATCACTAAAATGTATAGAGGTTGAATGTCAAATGTGAATGCGACACGGCCCCGATTCTGTTTTTAATAAAACATTTTAATAAATTGTCAGGAAATCGTAAAAAGAGACAGATCTTTTAGTAATCATTATTGAATGTTTCCATGACATGAGATGAAAAACAAATGGACAGACGTGAGCAGAAGTCGAGAACAGAGCTTGCCCTATTTCTGGGATGAGCACCTTTTCTGGGATGAGCACCTCTTGTGGTGGGGGGGGGGTTGGATAGGAGCCAGATTCCTCCCCAGTCATGCAAAGAGCCTCTTCAGAATGCAGATCTCTCTCCTCAGTATATCAGAACCTTTGAGACAGGTCCACCCCTTCCTTTTTTCTCTGTGGAGTTAACTTCACGGCCTTTCTGAGCAATCATTAACTGCATTCAGCAGGCTTGGCTGGTGTTACTAAATACCAAGTACTTTTAATAACTCCTTAACATATGCTTTAGTGTTGATTGCTTTTTTCCTACCCAAAAAAATACATTTCAATCCAGTCAACTAGTACTATGCTACTCAGTGTCTTAAGACGTTCTCCTGCTGTCTTCAGAGTGTCTTAAGACGTTCTCCTGATGTGTCTGAATAGGCTGTCTGCATTTGGAACTCCTCCCCTACACGGCCTGTTCAGATGCCCCTTAATTCCTTTTCCCTCCCTGGCTGCGCTCACTCTTGGGGACTGAGGCAATTAACCTGAGCCCTTCCCCCGACAGTTCAGCCACCACTTTTGCTAAAATCTTTGCCCCATGCTTAAGCATACAGACTCGCTCTGTTCCAAGTGGGTTATGGCCAATTTTTAAATGCTTAAGTGTGCCATGCCATGAAAAGGCTGCGAAACATTGACTGAACAACACTTTGTTTTTCTAAAATTTTTCTATGCTGCCTCTGTTTTGATTAAAATTCCTTTAAGGTTATTTACATCACCTAACACTGCTCTCCACTAATCCTCTCCTTTCCTCTCACTCCCTAGACATCATGAATGTATTTAGTAATCACATGTAACACTTATTAGTAATGGAAAATATATTTATTAGATGAATGTTTTGCTGTTTAGAACCATTCTAATACTAAGATTTATCATAACTATTGTCATAAAAGTTAAGATACATGGGTCTTAATTTAAGCCAAAATTACATACTTTCCCATTAAAAAGTATAATAACCTACCAGTCACATGTAAAGATTATCCCCAAACATATGGTGTACATAATCCTGCAGTTGAACATAAAGTCTTACCTTGTAGATAAACATTTTTCTTCTTCCAATGTTTATCACCGTTAAGACAATTAATTTCTCTTCAAAAAGTTAGATTTATGCACATCGAGCTAAATATTAAAATTTGGATAAAATTTCTGTTATTTTACATAACTATAATTTTGAATAGAATTCATATAACCAACTTAAATTGGTAGTCTCTTTTAAATAATTATTTCATTTATAATTTTCAAAATTTTTTCATGTATTAAAATTTATTTACTTCAACAAAGTCTTTAAACAAAAGTGATTAAAAGTGAAGATTATTGCAACAAAGGAATAAATATGTTTAGTGTTATATTTTGTTACAAAAATGATAATGATTACTCAGATTTTAAAGTATTCTCTCTCTAAAATAGTATGTGGGCATTTTAGCTAACAAATATCCAGAGGTGTTTTACACACACATATGTAGTCACATGTTGTTGTTATTAGGTGCTGTCCAGTTGGTTCTAACTCATAGTAACCCTATGAACAACAGAAAGAAGCACTGCCCAGTCCTGCACCATCTTCACAATTGTTGCTATGTTTTAGCCCATTGTTGTAGCCACTGGGTCAGTCCATCTCCTTGAGGGTCTTCCTTTTTTTTGATGACCCTCTGACAAGCATGATGTCCTTCTCCAGGGACTGGTCCCTCCTGATAATATGTCCAAAGTACTTGACACGAAGTCTACCCATATTCGCTTATAAAGGGCATTCTGGCTATACTTCTTCCAAGACAGATTTGTTCATTCTTCTGGCAGTTGATGGTATATTCAATATTGTTCGTCAACACCATAATTCAAAGGTATCAATTCTTCTTTGGTCTTCCTTATTATATTCGTCGTCCAGCTTTCGCATGCATATGAGGTGACTGAAAACACCATGGCTTGGGTCAGGCGCACCGTAGTCCTCAAAGTGACATCTTTCCTTTTTAACGCTTTAAAGAAGTCTTGTACAGCGATTTGCCCAGTACAACATGTCGTTTGGTTTCTTGACTGCTGCTTCCATGAGTGTTGATTGTGGATCCAAGTAAAATGAAATCCTTGACAACTTCAATCTTTTCTGTGTTTGTGATGATGTAGCTTATTGGTCCAGTTATGAGGATTTTTGTTTTCTTTATGTTGAGGTGTAATCCATACTGAAGGCTGTGGTCTTTGATCTTCGTCAGTAAGTGCTTCAAGTCCACTTTCAGCAAGCAAGGTTGTGTCATCTGCATATCACAGGTTGTTAGTGAGTCTTCCTCTAATCCTGATGTCATGTTCTTTTTCATATAGTCCAGCTTCACATACACATATATTATTAGCATGGTAGATTTTTAGATATTATTTTATTGTGTTTTGGTGAAGGTTTACACAGCAGTTTAGGTTCCCATTCAACAATTTATACACAAGTTGTTCAGTGACATTGTTTACATTCTTCACAATGCACAAAGATTCTCATTATTTCCGTTCTGGTTGTTCCACTTCCATTAATTTAGTTTCCCTGCCCTCTTACATTCTCATCTTTGTCTTAAAGTAATTGTTGACCATTTGGTCAGCATGACAGTTTTTAAAGTTGTTTATAATTGTTTGCATAATCAGTTGGGTGTTAAAATTATTTTTTATATAATATTTATTCTTTATATAATATCTTGACAAGTCATTTTGGAAGCTCTCAAGCACATCATTTTTATCTCTAAAACAGATAAAACCTAACTTTCAGAATCTTGAAAGCAAAATCTCTTTTTTTTATTATACTTTAGATGAAGTTTTACAGAGCAAACTAACTTCTCATCAAACAATCAATACACATATTGTTTTGTGACATTGGTTGCCAACTCCATGACATGTCAACACTCTCCCCTTCTCGACCTTAGTTTCCCCATCACCAGCTTTCCTGGGCCCTCCTGCCTTCTCGTCCTTGCCCCTGGGCTGGTGTGCCCATATAGCCTCATTTTGTTTTATGGGCCTGTCTGATCGCAGGCTGAAGGGTAACCCTCAGGAGTGACTTCATTACTGAACTGAAAGGGTGTCTGGGAGCCAGATTCTTGGGGTTTCTCCAGTCTGTCGGATCTGGTCCTTTCTGTTTTTGTTTTTGAGTCAGAATTTTGTTCTACATTTTTCTCCAATTCTGTCCAGGATCCTCCATTGTGATCTCTGTCAGAGCAGTCAGGGGTGGTAGCCAGGCACCGACTAGTCGTTGAAAGCAAAATCTCTTTAGTATAACTGCAATCGATTGCTAATTTATTCTAGATGCTATACCCATATCATGTTTTGCATCATTAAATGATACAAAAATATGTCAAACCAATTGTCTTATACTTGTTGCTTCTTGACCTATTTTAGCAATTACCATGTAATTTCTATTTTATATTACATATTTTATAAGATAATCAGCACTAAGAAGGAATCAAAGAAAAAATATTAGCTTTCTCTGCATATTTTTACAATGGAGCCAGTTTACTGAGTAAACTTGAAAGAGTTCAAAGTATACAGAATCTGTACCAATTTAAAAAATTATTACACTGTATCTTTTTATTAATTATGGAAACTAACTTTTATTGAATACATTTTCTCTTTAAGCATATGTTTGAACTCTGATGTATGATAAGCCATTGAAGTGTTATATTTTCTTTTGCATATTTTGCACATTTTTATCATGTATTAATTCAAATATAATTTATTTGTTACATTCAATTAATGCCCTTTTCAGTTTCTAATTTTTCCCTGCATGAATTCCTTTATTATGTCAAAATGTGAAATATAGCTGCATTCTGGAATATATAAAGATTTACTAGTCCAAATACATCAACTACCAACCATAAAGCAATGCCTTCTCTTAAAATTAAATTTTTGCAAAAGTTCATTCCATATATAAAGTTAGTTATGCCTTAAGTACTTTTTGGAAAGTGATTCCAAAGAAAAAGTAAAGCTTTAGATCAACTTAATGTTTGAAGTGTAAAATACTTTTCTTAGTATATATGTATTAATGTCCATCCATGAATGGTTACCAATCATGTAGAATTTCCATTAAGGAAAGGAAACAATCTCTAGTATAATCAATAGCAACTCCTTTCATGTCATTCAAAAATCTTAAGGCCATTTCTTAAAATTAAAACTACAGTGGTGGTGTCCACAATTAAAATAATTATCTAAGTAGCTAGGCCAGAACAATAAAGCTAAA